CTTATTTACAAATTAAATGCAAGATGGCTGAAGCGCACATACTCACATACATACGTAGCTACACACATACATATGTACTCCTTTGTATGCCTACGTATAGGTGATTGACCGTTTAACTTGTGTGTTTACAACGTAGACAACAACAACAACTTAAACAACAACAACAACAAAAGTGGCAACAATAATGTCGCATCTAATGAATGGTACATGCATTGCAATACATCTACACACATATGTAAGTGCAGCTGAATACTGTTACCAGCTGATTAAAATAACAACAATGGCAAATGACGATTGGTTTGAAAAAAGTCAACAACGAAACTCTTGTAATAATAATTATATTTTACATAAGTAAATTCATAGTTATGTTTATATGCACACATTCTTCAACAATCGCTGATAAACCAACAACTGAATTTTCAAACAACAAACTTTATGGGTGCTGAGAAATCGCTTTTCAAATAAGTCATCGGTAAATGAAAAATAAACAAAGTGCATTGCAAATTTCACTAGATTTACAACGGCGTGCTGACCACTCATTCACTTTTGATAGCCGCCTGGCAGAAGTTTTCAATTGGTTTGTTGTAACTCATTCAAGAGAATGGATTCTTAATTAAATATTCAACTAGCATAACATACTAAAGAGAGAAAAAACAAATAACTAAACATAAGAAAAGCTTTAGAACTCAGCGCACTATGAGCACTTTACTCCGGCCAAACGATTGGCCATTTCTCCTCACGCTGCCATATGCACCTCGCATAGCTAAATGGATTACATATTTGTATATTATTTATCAAGAAATTCACATCCGATATTCATTCATAAAAATTTTTTCGAACTACGCATGTTTAGAATGTCAAACTGACTGACAAGTTACTAGCACAATTGATTGTACTCAGGCCTACTATAAGTTAATGGTGGTGAAGGAATGTCGAATGATTCAAGACTTCAAGTACGTTGCTTAAGTCTTTCGATTCACTCCTTATGATGTACATGGCGCGTTCCATACCAAAACAGACGAAGTTCACACTTCATGAGTTTGATATGTTTAAAATTTTTAGGGTTGATGCATAAATATAAATAACAAATAGACATAAAATTTTTCATAAAAAATTAGTTTTCGAAAATATGCTATCTCAAAAAAAAAATTGAAAAAAAATCACAATGGTAGCTCTGAGTATTGCGCAATATTTAAGTATAGTATTATGGGGCGCACTACACAAAAATTTGAGTTATGAATTTTTCTTTATATTGAAGTTGAGTAAAATGAGTACATTAATAATTTACAAATTTTAAAAATTTTTTTTTTTGAGTATGCAGTGCAGGTAGCCCATTAAAATTTAGTATAATAAAGTGCAAGTTTTAAGCTTAAGTTTAATTCTATTTGAAAACGGTTTTGCGCATTTTCTCCCATAAGAAGAAAGTGCAAAAAGCCGTCAGCATAAAACATATTAAAAATCAACGCAATTTTGCAGAAGCTTAAAACTTGTACAATAAGTACTAGTATTTTATGCGCTATAAGACTGCGTACTCAAAAAAGTTCTAGAAGAAAGTAAAAAGAAAGTGTCAATTTATAATATACTCATTTTATTCAACTTCGGTGAAAAAAAATTCATAACTCAAATTATTGTAGAGTGCACTCCATAATATTATACATAAATATTGCGCAATACTCACAGCTCCCATTGTGATTTTTGTTTTAATTATTGTTTTGTTCAACAAAAAGTTTTTTGTTATCAAAAAATTTGTATGTGAAAATTTTTTCAAGAAACAAACTTTTTTTAATATTTGTTTTCATAAAAAAATTCAATGTGTGTTTGTGTCATTTTTTTTAAATTTTTTCCTCGCACCATTCTCGAGATATTGGGAAAACTATTAAATTGATTTGTTTTTGTTTTTGGTGCTGTAAAGTTTTTAAAAAGGTATTAAGCTCAAATTTCATATTTATGTTTATGCATCAACCGTAAAAATTTGAAACAAATCAAACACATGAAATACAACTAGTTAAAAGAAACTCGTTTATATTTCCAGCTGCTGCACTTGCATATTACCAAAAAAAAACAACAAATTTCAAAACAGCGAAATCAATTGCCAGCCATTCACTAAAAAAGACTGCAGATACGAGTACAAAACTCAAAATCATGTATCACGATTTCTGAAGCAATCCGAAGCCGATTGACAGCGACAGATGACTTCGATCTGTGCAACCGATAAGCGCATCTTCGACCATCTACTTGTCGTCACTTGATTTGCAGTCATCGCTCTTTGAGTACATACTTTCTATTTCAGTTCAGCAGGCGAAGCAGTCACTTCTTCGTTCAACGCAAAGCGGAGCATATAACATAAATATACATACAAATAGTTGTGCACATATGTATGTACAGTCAATCAATAAAGTTTAGGTACAGCGATTTTTTTGCAAAACGGGTCACCGTTTTTTATTTATTTTTTTTTTGGCAAATTTTTTATGAAAATATGGTTCATACTACGACCAAGACTCCAAAAATCCGAGCTCCAAGCCTTGTGCAAAATTAAAGAAAATTCTGCAATTTTATCAAAATATTACACTTTTTAATTAGGTTCTTTAGAAAAAAACTGGGTATGCAGTTTTTTAGTCTGAGGTAACTAGGCCTTATCAATAATTTTTGGCAAATTTTTTTGTTGAAGGTGTCGTTCGATTTCTCCATAAAAATAAAAATCTAACAATTTTTGATTTTGAGAAAATGAGCAGAATTTTCTTTAATTTTGCACATATTTTTATAAAAAAAATAAAAAAATTAAAAAAACAGTTGCCCGTAATACGCTAAATCCCTGTACCTAAACTTTATTGATTGACTGTATGTACCTTCAGTTCGGCTTAAAGTTATAAAAATCAGCTTTTGGCAGATAAATATCAATAACAATTTCAAATTCAAGCAAGAAGCGCTGAAAAATTAATGCAATACAAATACGAGATTCACGCGAGCTCCCCCTTTAAGTTGGTAAATATTAGTCGAATGCTATTCAGACATTCGATTATTCGATTGCAGCAACAACATACAACGCTCCCACATTGTTAGCTGTTAGCATAATTCGTGCTTTGTTTTCTTGTAATCGTCGCACCATTATTACGATTACAACGTTATCGTTTGTTGTTTGCTGATTGCTAGCTGTGGGTTTGAGTTTGGCTTTGGTTGCTGTCACTGTTGGCGTGGTTGTTTTTTTTTTGTTGTTAATTTTTAGTGTTTGTTGACAAAATGTCAACAATGTGATTAGCAGCTGTAATTGGCATATAAAAGGCATGTAATGCGACAGTGTAAATATGTATGTATGTGAATGGTATGGTAACTGTGAAAGGCTTCTGCTATGCACTGTGGTAATAGAGTATGAAAATAAATAGGAAAATATTTGATAATATTTTTTTTTTTCAAATACAGTTATGATTTTGAAAAAGGTGCTAGAAATAAATTTCTATCTTCATCGATGGTTATTATAAAATAACTACAGTACGAAGTGATTGGATTCCTTGTTTTTTTTTTTAATATACATATGTATATAGGCTAAAATTTTTTGAAGTTCGCCACCATTTTTTCGAAGGTTGCGCTTTTTGTGTGCTTCACAACGATGAAAGAAAAATACATGTTTCACAATTTTTCGAAATTATTTAGATTTTAATATTTTTCTCGCGACTGGTTATACCGATATTTCTAAATTTTTATACAGTTAAGAATGGTGATGTTTTCTCTTCAGTTTTATATTTTATTTGGTGATACATTTTTTTTATAAAATTAATTAACATTTTTTTAAATGTTACTGACATCTCAATGTCTTTAAAATCGCGTTTTGTGCTGATATTGTTGTACGTTCTATTAGCAATTATTTGCATAAAACAATTGCCGGAATGCATCGAGATGAAGTAATTCACACTTTTCTCTTGACGCCCAATGTATTTTATATGGAAAATAATGAAATTGGTATCTCAAGCGTGCGAGACTCGCTGTCAATCGAAACTTGTTGAAAAACTCATGCGAGCTAAATATCTACGGTAAACGTTTTCCATACATATTTAAATATCGATATCTGGATACGATTATTTATGATTGACTTTTACAGATGCTCCAATATTCTTCTGGAATTATTTGTTTTGGATATCTTTATCTATATTTATCCATGCTAATCGATTTATACATTTGTTGGCATATTAACGATATTTTCCTTCCTCATTTAACCCAGATTTTTTGTGCTGTCTTACACATGGTCTTTGCACATCTAACTGATCGATAAAGATACTTTCCAAAGCGAAATTGCCAGATTCATCTTTAATGCAGTTGCATAATATATATTTGTAGCCTGGCACCCGTGCTATATGTTCCGGGTGCCTCATTATGATTCAGGGTTTGTCTACAATCCATGATTATTATTGATATGGATTTGCCACTTTAAATGCTGTAATAGTTAACTGGCAATCCAAAAGATATTGTATATATCTTATACATAAGTAAGAGTTACTACAATAATCGATCAGACCACCTTGTTTCTGTAAAAGCTCTTGCCAGTTAGGGTATCCACATTCCACGTTGAGGTCTGAGGAATCGTTTTATAAAGGAATGGAGGAATCATTTTATAAAGTCCAATGGCTCTTAGAAGTGGTCCTAGTAGAGAACGTAACGGTTCTTTATCATAAATTAACCGTTAAAATTGGATTTCTATTTTTCGATAAATTTTTTTTTCTCGATTAAGAATATCAGTTAGATTTGGATTTATATTTATTTCATCATATTATAACCGTTACATTCAAGTTAATCTTTCTAGATCACTAAAGATTTAAAACAGCAATATAAACGCAGACTCTATTATAACGGTTAAAAATGACCGAAAAAAATTAATATTAAAATTAGCGATTTTGCAATGATCTATGTGCAAATATGTGTGTATTGTACAATGTGCATGTAGACGTGTAATAAAAAAATATATCGTAAATAATAATATTTTTTTTCATTACAGGTAACTACGATTTGATAGCATTTATTCAAGATTTAATGAATCTGTTGGTAAGTTAAAGCTGCAATCGGATATAATTGTCTTGGAGAAAAGTAGTTTTACATAAATAGTAAAGTCCAAGTAATATCCAATTTTAAAGCTTAAGGAAATTTTTAAGTTGACAATTTCCAACATTTCTCATAATTTCTAAAAAAAAATTGGTTAAAGCATTTAAGGCGTATAAATTTTACAGCAAATGGCTCTTATCTTTTGAGTCAAATTGGATTTTGAAGCTATACAAATTTTATAATTTTACTTAAACTGCCTGTCAATCTTTTATACAATATAAATGTTCATCCCTGTCTCACACTTAGATAGTTTCCCAGGCCATATTTAAGTATTATGAAACCATTTTGCAATGCTCAGCTACACCCAACTACGAATGAAAGTAAAAGTGGAAAAACGAGTACGAAACGAAGCATTTAACTATTTTGCAAAAATTAATGCGCATACATTTGTACAGTTATGTATATATGTAATTAAATCAGATTTAATTGCTTTTACATCAAAAAGCTCCCAGTCAATTAAGTGTGTTGTGAAATTTTTTGATTTGTAAATATACATTTTAATATACATTTTTTATTTTAATGTTGTAAATCACAAAATTTTAAATGAAAATTGCAAGGGCGTGGATGAAAATATATGTATGTATGTATATATATGTATATATGTGTCAAAATCATGGAGGTGGAGAATTTCAGTTGTAAAGAGGTTTCTACCCAAAATTGCAGTAAATTAACAATGTTATCGGGTGCAATTACCAGCCGAGGGCCGATCGCAATTAGAAAGAATCCTTTCTTTATATTTTTTTACTAAATATCGAACCTTGGTTCTACCGGATATCAGCCAAAATACAGCCTTAAACGTTTTCAAGAATGTGTGAGCTTATTAAATAATGCAGAATTTTTACTACCGAGTGTATTGTGGCATCCAGAAACTCCGGCCCGATACTACAATATCTCAAGAATACTGAATTAAATGAATACCTGAAAAACTAGCGACCGTAATGGATTTCTATATTTCTGATTTTTTATTATATTTGATTTTTATTTTTTTTTACCATATTATAATGGTTATAATGAGATTTAATTTTTTACATCATAAAAGATTCAAATCAGCCATAAAACTGCAGTCCCTATCGCAACGGTTAAGAATGATCCCTAAAATATTAGAAATCAAAATAAAAAATATTTTTTATCCAGAATTTAACGGAAAAAATAAAAATCTAAATTTAAAGATTAGTCTTGATCGGAAAAAAGAAAATTAAAAAATAACGATGCTGCAAAGATATAAAAATAAAAATATTGATATTTAACGATAATTTTCGGACACTGCAAATAGAAATGAAAAAGTGCCAGCCATTTTCTACTTAAAAAATACCAACATTGGCTACCATTTTTTTTTTTGCCTTAAAAATACAAAACCAAAATTTTCGGTTTTTCTTTGCTTGAAATTTTAAAAAATAAAACTTTTAAAGTCATGAGGACATCATGTCTTTGACCGTAGTTTTTCTCCCTAAAATTTAGCTAACCAACTAAATATATTTAAATCCTAACTATATAGGTACAGTACGAACAACATTCTATACTAAATATATAGCACACATACTCACTGTCACCTCACATCTCTGTCAACTTCAACCATCCCCATCACTGTCACAGTGACCAGCCTTACAATGTCAACACTTGTGCGTACATTCGCCTTCATGTCCAACTAACAGCCAATTCCAACTGTCAGCCGCACGCCAATTGTTTTGCTCTTTCTTTGGTACATTTGTGTAAAGTGCGAATTTCACAAGCATCACAAAGCTTCTTTGCAAACACAAACAATCACAAATAAACAATATTTATATTTATACAAATGAAACAACAATACAAATTTTAAATTTACACACAACAAAAAAAAAATGTAAATTTGTACAGCGTACACTTAGTACATGCGAGAATGCCGACAGTTAAATACATAGTTATGTTTGTATGTAATATGCAAAGTGTGAATAGCCGTAAGTGCGAGCCTTTTGTCATTCATTGTTTGTTATTCGTTATTTGCATTTAGTAGGTATTTAATATTTGCCTTTCGGTTGTGGGTAAACGATGATGATGTTGCCGTTAGGTGTACTGACCGCAGGTGTCAAATTATGGACATGAATGCTTTATTGTATATTTATTATTATTGTTGTTGACATTTTGCCGCTTACAATGGCTAACAAAGAAATGGACGAATGTGATGAGGTAATGGGCAAATAAAAATAATTTGAATATTATAAAATCTTTAGAATTTGATAGAGATGCGAATTTATAAATTTACAATACATATGTGTAAATTGCCCAAAATAAATATTTTATATGCTGCATTAGTTCAGTGCCTAGTATTCGCGGACTACCTACATTTTTCAATCCCAGTGAGAGCAATTCACTTGAAAGAAACATGACGCCACAGAATGATGATGAGCGGCAAATGTTTTTATTCTTCTCTGAAAATTTTTTGTCTTGAAAAACTTCTAAATTGACTTCCCTGAAAATTTTTAAATTTTTTTATTTTGTGGCGAACAAGCCTATACATTCAATACATTTGATTTTGAGCTGTTTAGCTAATATGTAATTTTTCGGGACTGCAGAGTTAGTAAGGCGGCTTCACTGTCGGAAAAACTCCCCAAAACATCAATTCCATGAATGTTTGCTTGGAAAATAGAATGGATCGGAGAAATTTAAAATGCATTGTTTCAAAAAAGATAAAGGTAAGTGTTTTATTTATTCTCTTTTATATGCAATGAAAGGAAAACTTTCTAAGTCCAAAAGAAGCACCGAAAATCCGACAAGGCCAAGATAGTACCAAATCTTTTAATATATATCAAATCTCTCTGATTCATATGGAGTTTTACTTCGCTTTAAATAGGCAAAATGTTGTATTCAAAGTTTCGCAAAATATTTGCAAAAAATGGCTATAAGAAGTTTTTTCCTCTCCTGTACAATTCTTAAATTGGGGCTTAGCAACTTTTCATTCCAAGCTAGCGATATATATATGTATGTTTGTGTGTATATAATATATGAAGGCATTTTTCGTAAACGTCACTGCACTGTAAACGTGTTTGCACTTTGCTGTCGAATTTCGAAAAAATCGAGTAGGAATTAAAAAACAGCTTTGAATGCATATACCATGTTTTAAAAAATGAATTGAAAGCAGAGAGTAAGTTTTCCTAGACTCACCGAATTAGTGTTTATAAGTTTTGAAATTAAAATTTTAACCATAGTCAATTGAAACAATTTATTAGGCTTAAAAGGAAAAACCAGGGGTGCGTGTAATGGGCTATACAGCCCATTTATTTATTTTTATAAAAAACAATTAGATGCAAACTCGAATTTACCTTCAAATAAATTAAAAAAGTCTCCCTAACCACTTAATAATAATTTAAAGTCTCGCACCAACTCAGCTCTTAAAAATTGCATTTAAGTTTAATCTTTCATTTAAGTTTCCTATTTCCACTCCAAAATTTTTCCTCAACAAAAATAAGTTAAAACAATATCTGCTTCCCATTCTGACACTTATTTACTTATTCAAGTGCTCCCTAAAATACAAGGGCCCTTTTCCCAACTGGATTTAAGTTTTTCTATGAGCAACTCGACGGTTGATCGAGACAACTAAATGCAGATATGCAAATTCCCTGTCAACAACTGCAATTCTAGATCATGAATAAGACATGTACACACTTTTAACTAAAAACACATTGCTCCATACATATCTATGAGTACTCGTCCTACATACTTATTTATGCAGTTTACTCACTTCCCTTGGCAACATTTTGCCTCATTTGTATGCTCGAATGCCTTGAAATTTGTTGACATTGTATACATTATGTATACATACATATATATGTATGTTTGTGATCTTGTTTCATCTTTTTTTTTTGTGGATTTTTTTTTTTCAGAATATCAACTTGTATGTAACAGTTTTGCAAAGTAAGCGTAGCACTTACGGTCTATAATGCTGCATATAAATTTTATCTACAGCAGTGTCGCGTAGGCGTTTCGTTACATTCTAGTTGCTCATTCGGTTGCTGTGCTTGACTAGTTGCTATGCTGATTGGCTTTGATAGCGGTTTATAGCCTTCTGTTTGTGTTCGCCTTCGCACTGCAGACGCATTCACATATGCACACACGCATACACATGCATACATTTTATTCTTTTCTTTTTGACATTTTGCTATGATGTGTTGTGTTGAGTTCTCAGCGCAAGTTTGTAGCTTAAGTCTTTTGTTCGTTGACGCTGCTTTACCCTCTGAGGATGAGCAGCATATTAATGCTTGTTTTGATTTAATTATGTCAGCAACTATTTTATTTGCTGCTTTATTTTTAAATTGTTGAAGATCGTTTCAGAGGAAATCACTTTTTTATGAAGTTTGAGATTTTTTTTTTTTTAATGAACACGTGTCATATATGTATGTACATACATAACATGCTTTCAGCAGCAGGGAATTAACAAATTTATGATAAATATTTTATAGGTCCCGAGAATATTTAAGAAAACATTTTAACCGAAATTGGGAAACTAAGTATCTGTCTGTAAAAATATGAATGATATATTTATTTTGAAACAAATTTCCGTGAACTCTGTTCAAATTTGGCTTTGAAGCAAAACTGTGTCGCAAAACTGGATGGTGATACGCAAGATGATGCAACGCCGGATGGAAGCCGGTAAGGGGACGCAAGAAGATTTAGTGGATAAAAGTCTCACACTTGCGGACTATAAACGCCGTTGTAAAAAATATGCACCACAGATTCAGTTTAATTTTGAAAGTTTATAATTTTATAATTTAATAATTTTTTCCAATAATTTTATCACTAATTTTGTCGATAACATTATTAATACATTAATATGTTTTTCCGAATCAATATGTATATGTACGACTATGAAAATGTTTATCGATTTTTTATTGATACAATTATCAATGTCTATACCAATGTATTTATCGATCTTACTATCGATAGATTAATCGAAATTATTTTCAATTCAT